GGGCCCGGGGCCACGGACAAAGGGCGGCGGCGGCGGCGGCGGCGGCGGCGGCGGAGAGGGGCGGGGCGGGGGGCGGGACCGCACCGGAGAGCCGGGAATGGGGAACCGGCACCGGGAATGGAGAACCAGGAATGGGCACCGGGAATGGGGAACCAGGAATGGGCACCGGGAATGGGGAACCGGCACCGCGGACAGGGCACTGGGAACCCAGAACCGGGAACCGACTCCAGGAACCGGCACCGGAGAGCCAGGAACCGGGAATCGGTCACTGGGAACCGACCCCGGGGAGCCGAGAACCGGCATCGGGAACTGGAAACCGGGAACTGGGAACCGGGAACTGGGAACCCGGCACCACGAACCCAGAACGGATTCCCGGAATCGGCACCGGGAACCGAGCACCGGCCCCAGGGCTCCCCGGTTCCCCTCGGAGTCACCGGCACCTCCCAGTGCCCTCCCCGTGTCCCCCAGTACCTCCCAGTGCCCCCCCCCAGCACCTCCCAGTGCCCAGAACCGGAGAGTTCGGGCCGACACCGGATGGAACGGGCGGAGAGACACCGGGGGGACACGGAGGGGACACCGGGGGGGTCCGTTGGGTGGCACTGGGGGACACTGGGGGGACACTGGACGTTACTGGTCCCCGATGGGCCCCACGCGCCGCCGCCGCCGCCCTGAGCAGCCCCGGGGCGATCTCCCGTTCGCCGCCGTTACCGGGAGGGCGGAGCGATGCCCATGGGGGGCGGGGCCTCTCGCCGGGACCGGCGGGTCCGGCCCCCGCCGCCACCGGAAGGGCCCGGACCGGCCACCGCCGCCAGCATGAGGTGAGCGGGGATCGCTACTGGGAGGACTGGGAGCGACTGGGAGCGACTGGGAGCGCCGCGCACCGGCGCTGGGGGGAGCGGGGGAAGCGTTAACGGGCGCGGGGGGCACCGGGGATCGGTACTGGGGGTGCTGGGAGCGGGAACTGGGCGCGCTGGGAGCACCGGGGATCGGTACTGGGCGAACTGGGAGCACTGGGAGCAGCGGACAGCGGCGCTGGGGGCACTGGGAGAGCCGGTAACGGGCACTGGGCGGCCCCGCGATCGGTACCGGGAGCACTGGGGGCACTGGGGGCACCGGTAACGGGCGCTGGGGGCACTGGGACAGCCGGTAACGGGCACTGGGAGAACTGGGACCGGGGGTTGAGGGCGCTGGGCAGCACCGGGAGAGCCGGGATCCGGAACTGGGAGCACTGGGAGCACCGGGAAGCGGTACTGGGAGCGCTGGGAGAACCGGGAAGTGGCACTGGGAACTCGGGGAAAACCGGGAACTGGGACTGGAAGCGCTGGGAACTGGGACTGGGGGCACTGGGAGCACCGGGAACTGGGACTGGGAGCACCGGGAACTGGGACTGGGGGCACTGGGAGCGCTGGGAACTGGGACTGGGGGCACTGGGAGCGGGCAGGGATCGGTGCTGGAAGTACTGGGAGCACCGGAAAGCGGCACTGGGAGCGCTGGGAAAACCGGGAAGTGGAGCTGGGGGCACTGGGAGCTCTGGGAGAGCCGGGAGGGGGCACGGAAAGGGACCGGAAGAACTGGGAGCACTGGGAAC